AACCATCGGCAATCGATTTCAAATTTGTTTGAGGTTTGTTTTGTAATATATATATATATATATATATATATATTATGTTTTAAGAAAAATGTTTGCAAAAGATTTTAATTCCTGGGATCCATTCGAGAAGAGAGTGCAACACTGCACCTTGTAGCTAGGGGAGAAGTCATTCCCTATCAGGTAGTGTTTGATCATTAAGGGCTGAGAGGTTAAGTGTAAGAGACCGTTTAGAGTTGTTTTACCTGATGGGCTATATCTCACTTAAGTCCATTGTCCTTGGGCCTTAATAGGATGGTTGGATTCAATGACCATTTAGTGTAAATGTTGGGCCCATTAAGAGCCCATACTGATGGACTTAGGGGTTCACTATGCTTATTAGTGAATTCGACAAGACTTTTTCACAGAAGCTAGGCCGAACCCATATAGGCTTATGTGAGGTCATTGTTAGGATCCAACGCCATACAAAGAGGGCCAAATTGGCCAACAACTAATTGGGGACGTGAGCCACTTGCATAATGGGCCTAAGGCATGATTAATTGGATTAATCAAGATGTCACATGACAACTTAAACAGTCATGTGACACGGGCAAATATGGGTATGGATATGAGTTTATATCAGCAATAGGATAAGAGGATAAGTCTTATCCACTTAAAGAGTCTTACCCACTTAAAGAGTCCAGATCCAAATAAAAATTTAGATCAAAGACTCCTCCTAATTGGATTAGGAGTGTTGATCCTCAAGGCTTATAAGAGGAGGAGGGGGTGAACTACTCCAGACATCTCATCTACTCTCAATTCTCTCATTTTGCTCTTGTCGCCCAAACCCTAGTTCAACCTCCAGTTCTTGGACTGGTAGGGATCAGTTTTGATATCTAATTTTTGCAAGAAAACATTAGATCCAATTCGTGTTTACATCCCTTGCTCGATCCAAACTGTTGAATTGTAGTTCTTATTAAAGGATTGCGTTGCTGAACTGATTTCAATTCAAACTGGTTTTGGTACCTTCTTTGGGTGTGAACTACCACTTTGGAAAGTGCACATGTGGATTCTGTATCAAATATTATTTTCCCTTTCTTTTGGTTTCAGATCTAGTCCAGTTTGGTGCAAGAACGATCATTGAAAAATACAGTTTTTCTAAAACTAAGAATGCAATTCTCGGAAGAGAAAAGAAATTTTTGAAATTTCACCCTACCATCCAGCATGGTTCAACCATCCATATGATAGATTTCCCCTTCAACCATAATAAAGCATAGCTCATGTATCTTCTATGGCAATGAAGAAGACACAAGAGCATATCTTTGTTCATTGATTATTTTCTTGGGCAATTTAGCTTGTAGCAAAGATGGGGTTCAACTTAGAAAATTTGTATCAAACTACTACTAGATGGTTGAGTGGTGTCCATTTTTCAAACAGCAAAATATAGTTCTTCTTGAAAATTTTATTTGCATCTATAGACACATTTGGTGAGCAGGAATAGAAAGATATTTGAAAAAATAGAGCCTCATCCATATTAGACTTATATATCAGCAGTTCAAGAGTTGGAACAGTGACAATTCTTACAGTTGAGATGGCTGCACCAAAAGGTTCTGAATTCTGACGGAGCCAAGGGTCAATCTCCAAATATATACAGAATGATGATTCTTACAATCCAACTACATCAGCTGCAACTGTTGCCATTGGTGCATTTACTAGTTCAGGCGAACTTGTTTCTACAGATGGTCATCAATTGGAGGCAGAGGGAAGCAGAGAATCTGAAATTAAAGCAATCTATGGAGGACTCTTAAACGCGAAGGAGCAGGAGCTCAAATCCTTTTTTGCTACAGTCAGACACACAAGAACTGATCACTCTTTTGCACAGGAAGCAAATTTATGGCACGTGGGAGGAAATCATTCTGCTTCATAAAACATATCTATTAGCATGTTTTGGTGATGTAAATATACAGTATATAAACTGGGACTCTAATTAGCAAGCTCATCAACTAGCCTATCAGCAATATATGACTGTTAATCAGTCTAGATCATGTAATAGCATCTGAGAAAAAAAAAGCTTATTACAGAAAAAAAAAACACTTAAAGTTCAGATACATATTAAGCAAGGAAGGCCTCGAAAAAAAGGGAACCACATCTGATGCATAAGAATCCAAGTTTGAAATTGCAAATTGAACAAGAGAGTGGACCATGTTACACAACCTGAAAATGTAATGAATCGAGCAAGAGAGAATTTGTCAAAGTAAGTTCCTGCAACTACAATCAAGGCATGAATCCAGCAAGGAGGAGAAATATTAATCGCTAGTTTAAATGTTTTGATAAAATTATTTACGTAAATCTCATTTTGTTAGAAACCTGATAGTACTTGTACATTTTTTCAACACCAAACTTTACTCTCAATGAAATTATTTATACACAGCATGATAAATATTTATGATATAATACCATTAAAAAATATGAAAATATAGCATTCACTAAGAATAGGTATTAATCAAAGGTCATGCTGGATTCATAGTTCTAATTTATTTTGATGGTATCATTTTTTGAACTAGTGACAAAAGGCTGTGTTTGGTTGCTGAGCAAATTTATTTTTACTAGTACAAATGCATGGGAGTGTACTGCTGAGCAAATTTACTTCATTTGTACTGCAATCAAACAAAATAAGCTAAAATTTGAAACAAAAATGGCCAGAATTTACACTCAAATCATTTGCACTGCCATGGTTTTGCATCAGTGCAAATTTATTTGCATTGCAACCAAACACAGCCAAAGGATGAGGTTCGGAATGAGACAACCAAAACTGATCCAATTGGCACCTCACCCCTAAAACCATGTCCATCTACCTACCATCTTTTCATCTAGGGGTGGGAAATGGATGTGGGTTGAGAGCCAGCCTATCTACAAACCACCTAGATCCATTAGTAACCCATAATTCTAAGGCGTACATGGGTTTCTAACTCAACTTAATCAACCCCTGTTGACCTTCTGAATATTTGAACCTTTGCAAATGCATGGAGAAAACTTTGGTTGTTTGGTAAAGAACAGCCTGGGCTGTTTTAAAGTTTCATGGGTTTCTTTAAGCCATAAAAGGAGAATTTCATTCATTCATACTCGAAGTACAAGTCAGAACAAGTAATTTCCAATAGAAGTGCAAACTCAAAAGCAAGACTCCCGGAGCCATTTAAAATGTTAAAATGTGTGTGTGTGTGTGGGGGGGGGGGGGGGGGGGGGGGGGGGGGGGTGCAACAACCCCAACAACCAACAGTTCCACATGAATAGACTCAGGGCTGACTTAGTGGTACATTGGTTCAACCCAAATGCAAGAACTAGTCTTAAAAGGTTAGAGAGAAAAAGAAGACAAAGGAGAGAGAATCAAGAGAACTGAATGAGGAGGGAGAAAAGAGATAAGAGGAGAGATAAATGGATTATAGAGAGAAGAAAGAGAAACGAATGAAAGAGATATAAAGGAGAGAAAATGGATGAAAGAGAAGGAAAGAGAACCAAAAAGAGAGAGGAGATAGAAAAGAGAGATGAGAGGAGAAAGAAGGGAAGAATAAATGGACAGAGAGAGAGAAAGAGAACAAAGATTTGGGAGAGATTGATGCACATAACTTCAAATCTGTTGCTAAAATTCCATAAGCAATTCATTGAGCATGATATGAATAACAGCTTAATAAAAGCTCCATCATAATGCATTCCATCAACAATACAGAGCCCCACGGTTCCTGCTCAAATACTGGATATCAAACAGCAGGAGTGGACCACCATAGACCAGACTGCTGCCAAAGTTTTGTATAGAGTTCTTTACTAGAAACATCGTGCATCATATCGTTCAGCTTCTCCTCTTCTGTATTTAACATTGAGCTTACCAGAATTAGCATCCAAGCAAAAACATATGAGGTGATCTCATGGAAATAGAACCTGTAACAAGACCACTCACTCCAAAACAGAGAAATAGGCAAAAGCAAAACAAACGATCTTCTCATCAATCTTAGAGAAGCCATAATCCATTGTATCCGTGACACATAGCATATGGCCATCAGACCAGACCCAATTACCAATACACCAGCAATTCGGTCAGAGTAAAGCACCCAAATGAAATCCAATCTCACCCCAATTCCTTCGGTGAGCAGACATAGTCGTGTGTCATTCGAACAGGTCATCTCCCTGAATCTAAAACCAACTTCAGAATTGACCCATTAAACAAAAAGCAGACACAAAGCATCCGAATGACACGATTTTTAAATCCCCTAGCAGTTACAGATGAGACTTGACCAATTCCATGATTCTTCATAACAGAAGAGTCTCGAGAAAATTCACTAACTCTAACTGGTTAAAGAAGCTGATAAAGAAGAAACCAAATCGGAAATTGAAGTCACTCAAAAAAAATCAGAAATTTAAGGCAAGGTTCTAAGGAGTGAGATGAACACCTACCGCAACTCCACGCGGGTAATGACGAGAGCTCCACTCAAGAAGAGCGCCTTCTTGAAATTGAGGTGCCACCCGACCATAACCATTGGAATGAAAGAAGATAATGCACATCATCAAGATGCCGAATTGGAGGAAGCCAAGCAACGCCGTTTACTCTCAGATTGCAGACAACTCATCAAGTGGATAATTATGGACTGAATCAGAGAACAATTAAATCAAAGACTACACTTAGGGTTAGGGATAGGTTTTTATTCCTACTCCGCTCATTGTTCAGTTGGAGAGAAATTTTAAACTTTGGTGCGAAGATATAATCAACTATAAACCAGAACAAACAAGACAACAGAAGAAGTGCACCAGATCCTGTATTGTTCAGGAAATCTAAAATGGGTTGAGGCAAAAGCCCTTTATTTGCAGTTACAGTGAGAATTAAAACAGATGGCTGTACAATCGCTTAAAAACATTTACTAAAAATCTAAAACGAGCTGAATGGGTTCAATCATCTATACGGGAACATTAGGGTAAAGAAGCCGAGCATATTACAAAAGAAGATGCACATTCTTAGAAATCAGAGAAGACCGATATGAAGATCCAGTAGTAGGAAAAGCCAACTTCTCATTGAAATCATGAATTAAAATGTGAACATATTCGTTGAGTCGACATAACAAGATCCTTGGAATTCCAAATTTACAAGAATAAGAAGAGAAAAAAGACTGGGACGAAGATGTTGTAGCTTTGTTGCGCAGCGGAGTCATTGTATGATCAACCACCAAAGCCGTAGAGGGTCCTGCCCTGTCGCTTGAGGGCGTAGACGACATCCATGGCGGTCACAGTCTTCCGGCGAGCGTGTTCAGTATAGGTGACTGCGTCACGGATGACGTTTTCCAGGAAGATCTTGAGGACCCCGCGAGTCTCCTCGTAGATCAAACCGCTGATACGCTTAACTCCACCACGCCTGGCCAGACGCCTAATGGCCGGCTTCGTGATTCCTTGAATGTTATCCCTCAGCACCTTACGGTGACGCTTTGCGCCTCCTTTGCCCAATCCCTTACCACCCTTTCCACGACCAGACATTGTTGCTGCTGAGTTTCAGACGAAGAAACCGTGAGACTGTGAGAGAAGCCAGAGAACTTTCGAATGAGAGAGACTTGAAGATGGAGGAGAGGGATGAGATGATGGGAGTTTAATATAAGTCTTTTCAAATTTTGGATTGGCGGGTTTTGAGGGGGTCGATCCTTGTGACAGGAACTTTCGGTGGTTGGATAGAAAACCGACGGAGATGATTTACTTAGACATTTTCGAATGGATCCATGACGTGGAAAATATGTACTTTTTAACTTTTAAGGCGGCGGGAATGGATCAAAAAACGACACCAAATCAGCCCAACAAGATTACCCCCCACAACACATTTCCGCCGTATATTGAAAACATCTTCCATCATCATTTCTGATATTATCATTGAGATTCGGATACACGGCAAAGATGTGATGTGGGACGTTATGAGAATCAATATTGTGGGAAGCTGATTTAAACTTCCAAAAACGTTTCACACAATAAACCCTCGCCATGTGTCCTATCACACGCTTCTCACTTTGATTTCGTGCGGAGCTAACGGAGTGTCCGTTAACGCGTGAATCCTCCACCCCCTCCTCTTTCATCCTCACGAGTTCAAATCACCCCCTCATCAGATTGTTTCTCACAAAGTCCTATAATATATTCCCACCGTGTATTAGAAATAATTCCTGAGATAATATTAAAAATGATACGTCATCATTCGAAGATGTTCCTAATATACGAAGAAAATGTACTGTGAGACGTTGTAGGGAACAATGGATTTGATCTCCCTTCTCATCTCTTCTTTTCACATTTTAATTTTTTTTCAACGACACAAAATCAGAAGGAAAGGCTTACCGGCGACCACCCGACCATTGTTTAAGTTTCTTTCATTGCATTTTTCTCCAACCTGGGCTAGGTATGCGAATCTAAAACTTTTTATGATGTATTTCGCTCCAGATATGTTATGGTCGATATTGCACCTGAGGTTAAATGGATTCCAGCGAATTGTAACCGATGGAGGATTACAGGTATATTTGGTTACGTTTACATTTCAAATGTACCAAAAAAGTTCTGCTAGGAGATGACTACAGAATGCTCAAAGAATGGAGATCAAGTGCAATGAAATGAAACAATTATGTATTATTTCGCATGCCAACAATTTCAACTTACTATAAACTTCAAGCACTACATATGGGCTAAACTTAGTTAGAAATGCCTCTTGTGGGAAATAGGGGTGTTCACATCAAATGTCAAATCGACCAAACCAACTAAACCGACCCGACTCAATCAGAGTTGGTTGGTTTAAAGCCATTGATCAATTTCAGTTTGTATGAGAAAAATAAACCAACATTTTGATATGAATTAATTAAATAATTATTAATTAGTCCTTACCTTATATGTTAAAGGTTGATATAATTTATTTGTATTTGTTTGAACTTTAAAAAAAATGGTTATTTATGATAAAAACTAAAAAGGTTTCTAACAGATAAAGGAAATTTTTTGTCCTGAATATCAATAAAAAGTAATATTTTTATAAAATAAGATAACTTCTTTAGAAAAATATAAAAAAATGACAATAACACTATTCATCCTCTTCCTCTTGCATTCATGCTAGCCATTTCAACGGGTAAACGGGTCCCACAGTCCATCCCGCATGCCAGAGGCTCGAGAAGTCAAAAATACGGTGGGCTCTATGTGAGACTGCTTCTTCTAGCAGAAGTGGAACAGCTCCTAGGCAGGGTTGGCAAAAGGATCCCCGGTGAAGTAAGGTTCATTGGTGGAGTTTTGTTGTCGGAATTTTTTACGACACCAGAGGACGTAAAGGATCTGACCTATGACAACAACGAAATCGAGCTTCTGGAACGGGGTCAGTCTCCAAACTTTTGATTCGCGGCATTTTTTCCAATAGCATCTGAGTTTTAAAGCTGCAATGACAAGGTCTAACAGAACAAATACGCGACATTCTCCTCCTATGTTTGACCAGCCTGCGTTGGCTTCATTCCCACCAAACCCAACACCTAGGCCATCGTCTCCAGACGCCATACCGTTGTTGCCTGCATTTCTACCACTACCTCCTCTGTTACTATTACCCAACTGCACACCTGTTAAGAGACAGCCCTTCATATTTGCTTCAGGCTTAGTCGGTTTTGATTTAATTAATGAGTAAACTGGCTAAGTCAAATTGGTTGAAGAAAATGACTCAAACCAACCCAACCTAACCCCAGAACACCCAGTGGAAAAAATAAAAAATAGGAAAAATTCCTAATTAGTATCTTATATTTTGAGAATAGTGCCAATTTGGTCCCCAAACTTTAAATTGCAACAATTCAATACCCAAATTTTAAAAGCATGACAATTCAACTATTAACCAAACTTTAATTGGCATTTGAAAGATATAAATGTCATTCAAGTGTCATCTAATTTTCATTATCAACCATCTAAGTACTGAAAAAAAATAAGAACAATCCCAAATCTTTGTCTCTTCAATTCGAGAAAGTTGAGATCGCCTGAATGCTCATTCAAATGTGAACTTTTCTGAATGAAAGAAGAAAAGATTTGGTAATGTTAATTTTTTGTCACGTTTAGTGGTTGATAAAAAAATTAAATGACACTTAAGGACATCTGTAACTTTCAAATTACACTTAACAGCGGTTTAACTCCTACCGCAACTCCACGAGGGTGATGAAGAAAGCTCCAATGGAGAAGAGCAACTTCTAGCAATTGAGATGAGGTGCCACCCTGATTACCATTGCAACAAAGAGGACTATGCACAACACCAAAATGCAGAATTAGAGGGAGACCAGAATTTCCGCCGACTCTCAGATTGCATACAAAACATCAAAGCAATAATTACAGACCAGAGAACAATTAGATCAAAAACTACAGTCAGGATTAGGGTTAGACTTTTGTTTCCTCCACTAATTTTTCTGGAGGGATTTCAAGCTTCTGGACGAAGACAGTAACAACTGCAAAACTGTAAGGAACTAGACAACAGCAGCAATTGCACTTACACGAGAGATCCCAATTCCCAAGTGCTAAAACAGGCCGAGAAAATTAAAATACATTTGAAAATAAAAACTCGCTACAAGGTAGGATTTTCAGGGCAGATGAGATCAAGAGACAATAGTATAGGAAAAGCAACTTCTCATTGAAATCATGACTTAAATGTGAGCATATTCGTGGAGTCTAAATATCAATATCATTGGAATTCCAAATTTACAAGTACAAGAAGAACAAAAGACTGGCACGAAGATGTTGTAGATTTGTGGAGCAGCGGAGACATTGCACGATCAACCACCGAAGCCGTAGAGGGTCCTGCCCTGTCGCTTGAGAGCGTAGACGACATCCATGGCGGTCACAGTCTTCCGGCGAGCGTGTTCAGTGTAAGTGACTGCGTCTCGGATGACGTTCTCCAAGAAGATCTTGAGAACTCCGCGAGTCTCCTCGTAGATCAAACCACTGATACGCTTCACACCACCACGCCTCGCCAGACGTCTAATGGCCGGCTTGGTGATACCCTGAATGTTATCCCTCAGCACCTTACGATGACGCTTTGCACCTCCTTTGCCCAATCCCTTACCACCCTTTCCACGGCCAGACATGGTTGTTGCTGAGTTGCAGACGAAGGAATCCTGAGGAAAACAGGAGAAACAGAACGAGGCTGCGAGAGGGACAGATTGATGAAGAGAAGCATTAGATGATGAGAATTTATAGTCTTTTCAAAATTTTGGGTTGGCGGGATTTGAGAGCACCGATCCATGTGATAGGCATTTTCGGCGGTTGGATGGAAAACGACGGATTTGATTTATTTATCTACTTTGGAGCGGATCGATGACATGGAAAGTACTTACTTTTGCTTGGTCAGTAGTTGGGAGTTGGGACGGCCCTGACGCATGATGGGCTTGACCGCTTGAGGCCTCCACGGTTAGCGTGTGAAGTAGGCCTACATGTGTGTTCGTGGGCCGGGCCGGGTTTGAACACAAAACCGACGCCCAAGTCCGGAAATTTGCCACGTAATTACTCACAATATCTATATTTATACTATATATAAAAATGTGAATGTAAAATGAAATTTTTTTAGACTAAAATTACGTCTATTTTATTATTTGAGAAAAAATATAAAAGTAATTTTATTATAACTTTAATCTCAACTTTTATTATAAAATTACCCTCTAATTGTTAGTAGGGGTGGCCAGGAGCCAACCTCTTCACGAGCTCTTTGAGCTCTGTTCGGTTCTGTTTCAACCGAACTTTAAGCCGTGTTCGAGCCCAATTTACAGGCTCGTCTAATAATTGAGTCCAACTCGAGCCTAATATAGCTCGGCTCGTAAGGCTCGCGAGTCGAGCTCGAATAACTACATATAATAATAATAATAGTTTTTAATTTTATTTTTATATATAATAATAACTAATTATTATAATTCTTAATTTTTTAAATATCAAATAAAAATATTTTATATATATAATTTTTATTTTTATAAAATACTTTTCCTCAATTCGAGCTCGAGCCGAGCCAATCTCGAGTCTCGAGTATTCGGCTCGGCTTGGCTCAGCTCGAATTCACTCCTAATTGTAAGGGTTGAAAATGTCACTTTAATCATTACTTTCCACCTCATTTAATCCCCTCCCATTAAGTCTTGTACTTAAGGTATTAAATCCCATTTTATCTTATTAAGTCCTAAATTTTGAAGTTATTTTTAACTAATAAATACTACTAATTAGATCTATGCAATATTTTTAATAATATAAATTCATATATTTTAAAAATTGACTAAAAAAACAAAATCATTTTTATCCAAGTGGTGGCTAAGCAATTCAACCTTCCAAATCAAATTGATTAACCTACGAAGTCATAGGTAAGTAATAAAATTTTTAAAATGAAAATAAATATAGAATATTACAACATAAATTTAGATATAATTAGACACATTTAAGATGTTTTATTAATCAAATTAAAAAATAAGTGTGATAAACAATAATTATTTTTATTGATAATGAAAATGAAATACATAATTTAGAACTAACCAAAACTGAAATATAAAAATTATTAATAAACAATAATTATTTTTATTGATAATGAAAATGAAATACATAATTTAGAACTAACCAAA